AAGGACGCTACTAGGGGCTCCTGGCATCGCTACTAGGAGCAAGGACGTTACAGGGGGTTCCTGGCATCGCTACTAGGAACAAGAAGCTACAGGGGCTCCTGGCATCGCTACTAGGAGCAAGGACGCTACAGGGGGCTCCTGGCATCGCTACTAGGAACAAGAAGCTACTAGGGGCTCCTTTTTGTCATGTTGTCATGAGCAGTTGATCTGTTTGGCGCAGTCAGATCAATCCGGCTCCCGGACGCTGGGTTAAACCCTCTCAGTCAACCCGCATTTGCCTCATCGCACCTCCACATGCACGAAAAGCTTTGCCCACCGGCTGTGGTAGAAGTTTAAGTCTGTTCAGGTTTCTCATATTGCACCAAGCCTTGCTCGGACGAATGCTTCGCTTCTACACCTACTCAATGCACTGATGACTTTGCAAAACTGAGGGTGAACGACAAGATCTTGAAGGTCATTGCTTGCAACTCCGCAGAGGCCAAACTTCTCCCGAGAAGTTCAGTTTACTTATATATTCTACTTTCGTAGGAAACTTATCAGTGAATCATCAATCACCCGCTGATGAAATTGGATAGACACATTATGGCCTTCCAGCGCAGGCAAGGATGTTGGAATAGCGCCCTTAATCATCCTCCAAACAGATTGGTCACTCCAGTGCAAAGTCTTACAGCAAGCACGCTAGTGCCATAGTGAACCCCAAACGTTCTCAGGAATGTAGGTTGACCATGTCAATTTAATATGTACGCATGCGTGTATAGTGTATATGTATATGTTTCATTATGTTCTGTAAATATACTGTGTATATTACGCATGTGCCTTTGCGATTGTGAATGTTGCTCAACATGTGTTGAAGAGGACCGGGATGTTCCAATTACATGCATAAGGATGGCATATACTATCAACTTTCAACCATTCAACCAATATAAATTTGTCCCAATGGACCATTGACCCAATGGATATGATATGCAGCGAAATGTCCTCATTTGCACTGTACAGCCGCGTGCAATGATCTCCTGAAATGTAGGTATATTTCACGTTGAAAAGCATTCGTGGAAGTTCCAATTTACACGCACGCGCACACACACACACACACACACACGCACATATATATATATATATATATCATATATATATATAACATATTTGTTAGATATATATATATTTCTATTAATTATTAGTTGCTTCCAGTCTTCAGACCGGGTTCCATAAGCTCAAGCTCCCCGGACTGCCCCATGTGTGCAGGATACACTTTTACTTGGCCAGCTGGCCAGAGCATTAACGTCCGCGCCCTATGACGTGTTCCGCCAAAACAGACGTGGCGGAACCTCATGGCCAAATCGATATATTCTTGTTATTTGTTAATTGAACGTTGTGCAGATACAGATTGTTTTGCTTTCCTTCGGCTTGCGTTCCCTCAAATATTGGAGTCGTGAGGCAAAGCCAGCATGCAAGATTACATGTGTAGGTTTGCTGCCAGTGCTACTTCTTTCACTCGACATGATGTTGGTGCGTCACATAGCTCCAAATACATGCAAAGCAGGACAGATTTGCAAAGATGTTGAACAAGTTGACCTGCAGATTGCGGCAAGTTGCGCTGTCGAGACATCGAAGTTGGCTAACACTTTTAAGGCGATCAAAGGAGCTTACAGTTTTTGGATGCCAGATGAAGGCCTGGGATACTTAAATATAGGAATGGGATGAAGATCACGGAAGCTTAAGGAATCAGGTTGATGGCCGTCAGGAATCAATTAGTCTCTCCCTTCCTATTCAACAGGAACACGCCCAGCATCCCATCTTCCAGCCATGAGTCATGAGTCATGAGTTCTTGTCATTTCTTGCTTTTGTCGCAGCGTATGGCTTTGGGCCTTTAACGTGCAAGCAGAGGTCTGGCATCCTTGATCAACCGACTGGGACAAATCCAACATGGGCTTACCCCAACTTTGCTCCACATCCACCATGAGTCTTGACTTTGGCACGCATGACCTCCTATGCGAGACCGACTGCATGATTACAACCAGTTTTTACTCGAACTAGCTAACTAGCAAGTCCGCCATGGCAGCGTTGGTTTGGGTGCCTCCCAGCCAAGACTGACGGAACATGGCTAAGATGGTTTAACATTTGAAACATGTTCATGTTGCTGCGTTCTTATGTGGGAAGTTGCACTTGCCATTGGCTTTCTTCAGAAGCTTGGCTCGCCGTCACGTGCCCCGCTTCAACTTGTCGTTAGGATTGCTGGCCTGCAGTGTGTGATGATGCAGCCTCTTGGCAGGAAGAACTGCAACTTTAAAGGATTGCAGAGTGCTATAGCTTCACTGCATGCGTGAATGGGGTCGACAGGTGGACTGTTCGATTAGTCGCATCGCTGCTCCACGCAGGTGCGTGTATGAGGTGTATGAGAGTCGAACCGGAGAAACCCAATCGGCTAAAGAAAAGCATTTAAAAAAACAGAAAGGTCCAAACAAGAAACAAGGTCCAAACAGAAGAAACCTAAAACAAAAAGGGGGGTCCAATCAGGTGTTGTTTTGAGAGGCCGAGCATGGTGCTGGGGCACCAGTGTTTGGCACCCTGCAGGTGCTATGGTCACCAAAGAAGACTGCGGCGGAGCTGATCCCCAAGTCTCCTAGCCGAAAAAGGAGAAGACGGGAACACTGGTCCAGTGGGCAGAAGGAACTGCAAATAACTACTGATTGGTCGACAGGATGCCATTTGCGACCTTGAACCTGGTATTCCAAGATACTGACATACTAGTCATACTAGAAGATTGCCCTGCTTGTGCCTGATGAGTCGTATTCCAAGCTTCACAGCAATCCATGATAGTCATGGTCACTCCAGGGAACAAGAAGCATAAGGTGGTGAAAGATGGCAAAGCTTCGGTTCTTGTTGGCCGAAATACAGCTCATCGTCTCAAGGTTGCGAAATGGGCCCAGAGGTATGAAGTGTATAAACATTTTTTGTATATCAGACCATTCTCAATATAATGGATATACTATGGATATATTATGTGGTTTGGCAGATGGTCTCCGTAAACCAACAGTTTTTGAAGCCCTATCCTTCAATCAAATGCTTGATCGTCTCAATCCTGGGGGATGGAAGCTGGGTCACTGCCGTTCAAATAACAGATCAGCCTTGTTGAGCTGTACATCGACTTGATCAGAACAACCGCGGTAGTGACAAGCTGAGCCCTTGGGAGTTGCGAGATTTGAGTACGGCTGCTGACCCGGACAGCCTTTGGCTGTGCAAGCCATCGCGCTCACAAGGGCTGGTGATGTTCTTCACAAGGGCGGGCTCCAACTCACTCTTTCCACACATATGTGCGCATAATTATGTTTGCACACTATGTTTGTTGTCTCCAACTATATGTTTGTTCTCGCAAAAAATTATGTTGATCTCTCTCCTCTCTCCACCTTACTAAAGGGGTCAGTTTTCGGCCTACGTTAGTTGAAGGGGATAATTCTGCTAAGTTGCTCTCCTCCGGCACTGTTTGGCATCTCATGCCCCATCAGCTCCCAGAAAGCCTTGAGGGCTATTCCAGAAAAAAACTATTTGAATGTGTCCTTCTCTTCCAAAATCCAAATATGTGCCAGGGGGCCAAATTCAGATTTGCCCTGGGAAAGCTTTCGTTATATTCTACTATATATTGCTAAGCTACTAGGAGCAAGGACGCCACTTGTAGCTCCTGGCCATACTACTAGCAACAAGAAGCTACTAGCAAGCACAAATGTCGATCCAACTCAGTGGCACTGAAGGTGGTGAGAAGTGACAAACGCGGAAACGTCACTGTGAGTCGTGTCTATATTTGCGAGCCCAGGCATGGATATCCCCATCTTGGGCATCACGTGGTTATCACGTGCTTTGCTTGGCCTCCGAGTGTCCTTCAGGCGTGGCCTGTGCTCAGGTCCATAGATGGAGGAGAGTCGCGGAGAAGGTGAACCAGCTGTTTGAGTTTTTTTTTTGCGGGTCATTCAATAGCTTTGTTTTTGCAATATAGTTATAATATGACTGTTTATGCTCCACAAGCCAGCTTGTTGATCAAAGTATATCAAAGTTGTAAGTTCTTGACGGGGTTGGCAGATGTATGATGTGTTTGTTTTCCGAATTTGTTGCTGTCGGCCATGCCCATTTATAGGACCTACACAAGCACTGAATTGCTTTGGCCAGGCACCGGCGATGAGCACTGCAGTGCTTCTGGGCCTGTCGCGAAAGAGCCTTGGCTTTGAGTTTGTTTGTGGATGTTTGGGGAGGGAATGGACAAGAAGAAAAGCTACTAGTAACAAGTGCATCGCTACTAGTAACAAGTACCTTACTAGTAATAACAAGCTAGTAGAAACAAGAAATTAAATTAGAATGTAATTAGAATTCAATTATCAGAATGACAAGAAGATCTCAGGGGGTCATTCTGAATGGGGGTTCGTGGTGATTGATTTGAGGGTGAAGACTTGGAAGCTTTGGTGGTGAAGACTTGACTTTGGTAATGATGTAACATGCTCACAAGCAATTAGGACTTATAAATGGACTTACTGTAAGGATCTGGAAAGACTATGTCGGACCGACTGTTATGGGTATTCACAATCCGGCAGTAGCTAAGATCGCGGCTTTCATTTTTGACACTGAGGTTTGCTGGGGTGGTGTGCAGGATGCACCACGGCTGTGAATTCTTTGGGTGGAGGTTGGAGCTGCCACAACAGTCAGCGGAGCAGGCTCTCGTGGCCAATGGAGAATCACCAAGGTTGATGCGTAGAAGGGCATGACATCATATTGTTGGTTGGGTTGCCAGTTTGCCCATCTTTATTTTAAAAAAACTTTCATTGGAAAGAGCCTGTTTTCTAAATTAAAAGTCAAAAAAAGTCAATCCCAAAAGTCAAAGTCAAAAAACAATCAAATCAGAAATTTTCAGAAAGTCAAAAACAAGTCAATTTGCCATCCAATGTGTTTGACCTTTTTTCGACTTTTGTTTGACATTTGTTCGACTTTTTGATTTTTTTTTTGACGTTTTTTTGACTTTGACTTTTCCAGTTGACTTTGTTTGACTATTTTTTGTGTTTGTGTTTTTTAAATCACGGATTCTCCATCGTTGACCCTTGGTAGGTTTGATTTTGCATTGTTAGCGGGCGGCTTGACCATGTGACCGTGCTTGACCGTTCACTCCACAACAGTGCTTGTTGACCACATTGACATGTTTACATTTCAGGCATTCGACCAACGATATCACAGGCAGTCAGGAAAGCATATCACACCGACTCTCAAACGCTGACACAAACCATGAGGAGGCCCAACATACTGAGCAGATCCTGGATCCTAAGGTCCATGCTTTTGAACAAGGGGCAGGCATCAGACTGCCAAGTACATACGCTAGAGTCCGAGAACATGAATCACTACATTTCGATGGCTAGGAGTCCGTGGATGGGACAAGTCCTCCAGGCTTGAGCAATGTGGCTGCTTCACTTGATAGCCAGTGCTCTATTCACGAGTACCTTCGCCTTGCGACCTCTACCATGTCCCTTGCACAGGCAGCTTTTTGCTAGCTATGAGAACCTCCAAGATACCTTGGAGCACTTTCTGGGGTTCTATGGTGGTTACAGCCATGGAAGGGCGAAGGTGGTGTCCGAACATATTCGCCTCTTTCAACTTAATTCCTTGGCACACGACTTCTTGGAAATCTTGGATTCGTTTCGTCTCTTTGCATGCTTGATCCTTTGTCCTTCAGCATGTGCAGATGGTGACATGCACATTGCATTCTCTGAAATACACTTGGTTGAAAAGCTCAATAATTTACAACTTGATCTGGAATTGCTTTTGGACGAGTCTTCGGAAGACTTCAAAGCAGCCTCTCAGCTGTACCTGCGCGAAGCCAAAAGTTATGCTGCAAATCTAATGATGGGAGGTCCAAATCAAGCTGCCCAAGGCATCGACTGGGATGAAGCACATGCAACCTGTGTGGCTCGCATAGCTTCTCGAATTTTGTTCCCAGCAATGAGGGTTCTCTCTTGGCAAGCCAAGAACAATGACAGTCAGATCATTCTCTCTGGTGTGACCTTTGATGTCTCCAACCCTGCAGCATCATCAGCTTCCTACATCTCTCCGCGGAGCGATTTGGGAGAGCTCTCTTTCACACTGCTTAGGTGCTTTGGCTGTCCTCATGAAAGTTTTTCTCGGGCCCTTTCCCATGCAAACAAACCACTTAGAGTTTCGAATCGCTTTGAATACATTCTATTATGCGTCTATTTGCCACACAGTCTCGTGCCACCACAAGAATAGGACCATATTCGAAGCCTAGACTCGTCAGTCTCACAAGGTCACTGGCAACAGCCGGAGCAGCCTTGCGTATCTACCTGGGTCCGGGTGGGAAAGACGCCGCTGCAGGACATATTTGCCATCCAGTTCTCTCGCCCTACTTGAGTCAAGACGGTGACACCTCGTCTGAGAGCGGTTGGCCAAGACGTTGGCGATTCAATGCCTGGGGCTCTGAATCAACACCAAAGGTGGTACAACTGTTGGACGAGATTGAAGCTACACACATGGAGTTGTCACATTCCTTTATTGCCTTAAGACCTTCAGGAAGCGGAGCGAGCTGGGCTCAAAATTTTAGCTGTACTGGCAATGATCTGCAGTATGATCCCAGTCTTTGTTTGGAGGTCTTAGGTTTTGGTGGTTACGTGTTCTCAGTGAACATCCATCCACCATACAAGGGAGAATTTCGACTGGCTGGACGCAGGTTGGGGGACGTCTCCCAGTCTGCTCCCAGCAACTATTACGATGTGTTGCACCCCTATGGCGGTCACCATTTCGAGACGGTTTCCATCGAGCATTTGTTCCATCGGCTTGATGTCGTATGGCGGCAGTCGGCCGAACCCTCGCCAGATTTGTTCTTTTTGCACCCTGCGACACACAATTGCCACGCCATCGAGTACCTCTTTTCCGGAGCACCACTGAAGCCAAAGATATTGCTGGTGCCCATCAATCCCATCATTCCACCACCTTTCGAAGTTATTCCTCGCTTCGAGGCGTTTGATCTAAAGCCAGACACTTTTGCTTCTTTCACTTATTTCGACTGTTCAGAGTTGTTCTAACAGGCATTCAGACAAATGCCAAAAGGAGTTGTTTGCCCGCTCTTCTAGTAAGGCATGGTGGCATGTGATGAGGCCACAGTTGCGCAATACACCTCTTGCAAGGGGCTGGATTCAGCATGCTATCGAGGACATGGGGGGCGCTGGAAGTGATTTTATGGACCAATACTTGACCTCGGCTATGTGGCTTGGGCAATGCTCACTTGCTGCAGTCAGCAAGATGCTGGAGCGCATGCAGGTCAAGAAGTTCCGCTACGTTTTGCATCATGTCTCTGGGGCCTATGCGATCTATATGCGGAAGGATATCCACAAAGCGCTTGCCAAAGACTCCTCCGAGTCAAGTTTCGCAAGTTGACTGAGAGGATGGTACTGCATCCCGTCCAACCGCTTCTTTGCGAAACTGGAATTGATAGGAGGTCCCGATGTGGCCCGCCTGGCTGACCCTTCGTTGTCACTGAGGGAAAAGGAGAAGATTTTGTGTTACTTTCTGGACCGGCACAACATCATGGTCCAACAGCGGAACTTCGATTGCCAACGGCATTTCGCTCACTTGGATCTTCCAGAGGAGAATTGTGTCCGTCCAGACCATCGAGGTTGGGGCAATGACGCCGCCGCATCCGAAAGTCTTCAAGAGTCGGTTGGGGCTTGTGAAGCCCATTGTACTGCCAATAGTTGCAACTACTGGACGTATGATCCAACAGCGGTGTATGGTCAACCCCTTTGTTGGATTTGGGTCGCCGGTCGGCCGGCTGAGATCAAATCAGAACGAGGCTGGATTTCGGGTGATGCGGACTGCCAAAAGGTGAAGGAGGAAAGTGCACTCCAAGAGAATGTGCCGTCAGAGTTGCCACCTGAGGACGATGAACCTCCGATGGAGCTCGATCCTGAACCTGGAGCGACAGCGGAAGCTGGAGCTCGTCCCAAGAGTGGAAGGGAGATATTCAAAGAATGGGCAGTGAAGGTGACGAAGGAGATTCCAGGCATGCGATACTTCCTGGAATCCACTGACCGCGGCCGCTGTGTCATCGGCTTTTGCGAGTGTTTTCCACCCTTTCGAGGCCCGTTGTGCGATCAAGTGGACTCGAGTCCACAGGATTCCCAACGAAACTACTCTGCAGTACTCCACTACCTCACCTCGGATGACAACATTGACATTGCTGACATTCAGCACAGCTTGCCGCGTCTTTGGCGGCGCTTCAATCGTCGATTTGATTATCCAGTGGTCATTTTTCATGATGGGCTTTCAGACCTACATCGTCAGCAGGCGCCCCGGCGGGACGTGAAATCAGATCGTTGAGAGGCGGTAGAGCTTATTCCTGAGACCTATTGCAATGTATAACTGTACAACTGTGTAACTATCAGATGCCTCATCATCAATGTTGACAAGCTTGGGGTTATCATGACATAGTGACATAGAGAAAGACAAGTGGACTTTTTGTGCCTCAAGTTCTTCTGCTCGCTTTCCAGCGATCCTGCGACGCTCCCATGATCCGATTGTTCGGCTTTTTGAGTTTGGCCCAGGTCGTTTCACAGGTCGATTGAATCGCCGAGTAGTAACAAGTGCCACGCTAGTAGTAACAGGTGCCTTACTGCTAGTAACAAGAAGCTAGTAGTAACAAGAAGCTATGTGTGTTCGTTGTGTGTGGTTGGCTTACAAATGTGTGCAAGCGCGAAGGGCATAATAAAGGGCCGCGTTTGGCAATCGGGAGTTGCTTACGTGCCTCAGAACATGCAAATGGGCCCATTTGCCATGGGCCTGTCAGGTTGTGAGTCTCCCTCGGCGGGTGCTGGTACGGAACCTTACGTATTAATCTTGATATTTTGTGATCATTTAAATTGTTTGCCCTATGCAACCTTCAGTCATTTAAGATCATTTATATAAATACATCTTACATACCTACCTTGGTCATCCTGGAGTCAACTCCTGCTCATGTTGTAACCAGACCGAGATCGATCGACAGGGGAACTTAATTTTCCCTAAACATCTACTCGTAGGAACCCAATGATTAGTGTGAGCGCTTCTTCAAGGAAGCTCCGCCCTGCCCTCAGGCGGGGGAGCTTCCTTGAAGAAGCGTGAGCTATCCTGCGTCCAGTAGTTAGTAGCGTCCACTTATAGCTACCTCAGTAGCTACTACTAGCTACCTACCTAGCTACCTCCGCGGCCTACCCTCCGCACAAAGACGGTCAGTCAGGTGGTCAATGCCTCCAAAAATCGGATTTGGTTTGCCTACGTGGAGGACTATCTGAAGGTACCGGAGTTTATCACCGAAGATCCAAGTCGCAAGGCTGCTGTAGAGGATATCAAATGGTCCTTGGGCTATCGAGGCATGTGTCGATTCAGGAGCGGCACGATCTTCTTGCAGCCGGTTCTCGAGAAGTTCCAATATGCAATGACGCTGGATACCGACGGATATTTTCCCGCGGAAGTGAGCTCCGATCCCATTGCTGCAATGCATCAAGGAGGCTATGTTTACACTTGGTCGCACTTGCTACCTGACCTGCCAGGTGCAGTGAGACATTTTTGGGAGCATTCACTCATGTACATGAAGATGAAAGGCATTGATCCACGAGGAACTCCCATCCTGCGTCAGTTCGTTCGAGAAGATGACTTGCAGTGGACGTACCAACTGTACATGAATGACATCGAAATTGTGCAATTGGATTGGTTCCGGTCAGACCCCTACCAGGACCAGCATGGGGAGTCTATGTATAAGTATATTATATCAATGGACATATTTAACCACATGTAACAATGTATATGGATAATCAGCTCAAAGTGCCTGGCTCAAAGAGAGAAAGAGAGGGAAGAGAGAGAGAGAGACAGAGACAGAGACAGAGACAGAGACAGAGACAGAGACAGACAGAGCGAGCGAGCGAGAGGGGCAGGAAGGCGGTGGGATGATTGTTTTGTCGAGACACCAGGACTACTTCCGATATTTGGATTCGACAGGCGGCTTTTGGTTGCATCGCTGGGGCGATCATGCGGTTCGAACTATTGCTGTGGGTATGTGGTTGCCAGAGGTTCCTTGCTTCCAGTTGAACAGTTGAGAGGTTTGCAAGGTATGGAAAGGCCAGTAATGTGGACAGGTTTAGTGTGTTTTAGCCGGCAATTCTTTGGGAACGTTGGGCTGCAAGCGGGAAGAATCTCTAGCTTCGATCATCGATTTAAAGAAATCTTGGACTTTGTTCACTCTCCGCTTGTTTGACTGAGGATAAGGTCTTTGAGATGGACGTGCCATACGGACATCAAAACTATTGCAGATGCAGTGGGGCGCATCCCCACCTCTCTTGTGTTCGCGAGGAAGACGTTGGCGGCGTGCCAGGCAAGTGGTGGATTTGTGCCGGGGAGGACGCGCTGGATGATTCCTAAGTGTCAGTTGCGGACAGGTGGCCAACCACTTTGACAAAAGATGATGTGTGTGATCTAGTTAAGGTGCAAAGCTGTTCAAGACAAAGAGGATCAGCGAGTGGTGTACAAAACAGATGGCCAGAGACCGGATTGCCCATGGAGTCCTTGAGTGGGGAAGGCGTTTTTGTTCACATGGTTCAACTGAGTAAGTATTCGCTGCATGTTTTCCACATTTCGGGGGGAGTGCTTCAGAATTGGAAAAGGCCCTATGGGACCTTTGGGCCACAAGTTGCTAAGGATTGCGAGGTGGGGCTGCTCAGCCTGAGGGAAAGATGGGCAATTTTGTATCTTGACACTTGATGCATGTTGCATGTTTGCAACAAGTTGCTTGCTATGCACATCTATGGCAGCATGGAGCTGCATTTCAAGGGGAAGTGTGGCCCCATTGCTCACACAGCCCACATGCGTTTGTAGGTTAGAACCAACATGTGGGCAAGCATGCTTCAGAAGAAAGGCCAAACTATGGTGGGCCCAGTTGACCAATCCACACAAGAGGGCAGAGGATCAGCACTCCAGATTTTAGTCTACGCAGAATCCATACAATGACATGTGACATGCATTCAACATCGCGTCTCATACATGACATTCCTGTACAGCATCCCTCTGAGAAAATAAGAAAGACGCGTACAATTCCGGCACAAGTTACAATTCCTGCCACACGGCCCAGATGGAATTCCCAGGAGTTGACGGGCTTGGCTTCTGTGCTCCGGGAGGAAGGCCTCAACAGCTTGGTCTCCCTGCAGGACCTGCTGGTGGCTTGGGCCTTGGTCGAAGTGGACAGACTCCTGACTTCAAACGTGGAAACAGCGGTGAGCATCCCTTCGATGATTCTATATGATGATACTGATATTAATGATATTCTGTAATTATGACTGTATGACTATATCTTTTTAACTATATATCGACTAGATGTATGTATTTGCTCATATTCCCATACAAATACACAGTATCTATATAGGTACAGATCCAGGCTGAGACCTTTTTGGGAGGTCTTCTTTTTGAACATTTGGGAAGGATTGAGGCAGACAACGTGCATTTCAGTAGATGTTGAAGTTGAAAGGCCGGCCAGATCGGATCAAAGCAAGTTTCTAAGGGAATTTAGAATCAAGGATGGTTGACGTGTTGACTGGCTGACGTGCTGACGTACGTACGGGATCCACTTCAGGTACAGAGATCGGTGCTCAATCAAGAGCGGTATGAAAAGCTTCTGCAGGTGGGGCTTCCCTTGGAGGGCACAAGCGAGGGCTCAAGCGCACCGCAAAAGAACTCCACTGAACATGAGAGGCACCTCTTATGACTTTGTGAGGCGGTCACTTGCACACCCAAAGAGACCCATCGTGAGTTGTTGACACCAATCTGCGCCTGACATGTTGAGCTCAGCATGGCTCAAGATTTGCAGACCGACGAGCAGTTTCATGCATTCAGGCCGGGAGTTGTTTTTTTGGAGTCAGGAAGTGCATCCTTTGGCTGTGATGCCCACTAGTATGCCGGTGTAGGGCAGACTGGACTGAAAATGAGGTATTGTGGGGTATATGGTTTTGCATGGTGAGATCCATTTTCATGAATGATCCATTTTCATGAATGCGCATGCACATGAAAGGATTGTGCTTGATAAGTTCTTGTGATTCGGCATGCTCTTCGGCTTAAAGATGCGTTGCTCATGGATTTTTTTTAGACATTGATCTGCAGTCTCCGGGGCAGATGCGCATGGGATGTTACGCATGGCATGGTGCAACGAATGCGCCGTCCACGTCCACGATGGCAGTGTGGAAGTGGCAGTGGATGACATCGTTGAGGATACCCCAGTGCTACTTGGCCGCTATCGATATATACACCTATTGTCCATATTGTCCTACCCATCACCAATGGTTGACAATTTGATAACGATTGAGACTTGCATTCGATCAAGGAACTCAGGGGGATTTGATGACACAACGGTTGACATATTGCGGTGTATATCCTTGTATATCCTAGTGCTGTGTGTATATATCCCAGTGTTGTCCTGAGGCTGCCACTCCGAGTAGGGAGACTGGATGAGAGGTCCTCACGCAGAGTCGCTGCATTGTTCAAGAGGTTGGACCGTCAAGGTGATGGAAGGATCACGGCAGAATCAATCTTGATAGAGTTTGGAAAAATGGGCATCCAGATCACGGAGAGCGAGGCCGCTGGGATGCTGAAGGCAGCAGACAGAAACTATGACGGCTACGTCGATTTCCCTGAGCTCATTGAATGGCTGTGCCGATGCCGTGTTCAAGAGCGATGGGAAGAAGGGATGCGAGACAACCTTGCTTTTGAGTGTATGATTCTACTCTTTGACAAGGCAAGAAGTACACCGGTGACTCTTGAATCGACAGCTCTTGGTCCAGTCTTCGACTTAGAAGTCCCTAGTACCGCGAAGGTCTCGGATTTGGTTCTGTTGATGGAAAAGGCTGCATCATCCGCTGACCCTCTCCAGCAGGCCTTGAAGTTCCGCGACATTATGACCTTTGCTAAGCGTATCACTGGGGATTGTTTGGGTCTTTTGGACTCTTCTGTGAGATATCGGGAGAACCTGTGGAAAGCCATGGAGGGCAATCGCAGCCAACTTGGCTTTGAAGGCGATCCAGACGCCGTTGACGCCGTGGACAATGTCAATGTGGATTTATGTTTGGACAACCGTCACAGCATTTTGTTTGTGTTGGACGGCGCGGTCAATCTGGCCAGACTGTACTGCAGGGCCCTTTACATGCTGCATGCGGTCAATCATCTCTTCAAGAAGCTCAGGACTTGTCGAGGGAACTTTGTGGCCGCCTTGGAACGACAAAAAGAACATGATAAGGCTTCCGTCGAGACCTTCTTTGCGGTAAGCTGCAGTTGCGAAAAGTTGGCTTACTTTGAGAAAGAGCTCGCTGCATATGAAGAGGTAGCAGCAGCATGGGACGCCATAAGGGCTTCTACTGCTGTTGACACTGATGATGCCACTGCGAAGGCTGGGAGTTCTGTTGGGTCAGGTTAAGCCTTCCCGCTAGCAGGTGACCCAAAATGCCCTATCAAAAGACCGGACCTGTCATTGTTGTTCCTTTTCTCGATCGGGCCGGTGAGGCGGTGATGGGTGTTCAGCGAACGCCCAGTGTGGTTTTCATGTCTGCCGAGGCGAAGATGTTTCTTTGTTTCAAGGAGCCATGGAAGCAGATGAAGGAGCACGATGAACGAACCCGCCGTTTAGCCGAAGGCTGCAGAGCTGATCTTTGTTGTCATAGTTATTAGTTATTTATTTGTGTGTTCTTTTGATTCCCTCGCGTGGGTGTTTGATGGTTTTTGGGCATCTGTGGCAGTGTCAAGAGCTTGAACTTGTATTTGAGGCTACGATTCTTGGGCTTTGAAACTTTGGAGTGCCATGAAGCAGATGATGTTTGTCGTCTACAAAAAGTATAACCTTGAAGTGCCTGGCGGTCATGATGCAAATGACCAGGAGGCCACTGCTAGCATTCCCTTGCGCAAGGGGTTTCGACCCCTCCCAAAATTTAAACCGTCGGAAGGTTGAGCAAGTTTGTAAGCGGGTATCATTTTCTGACATTGCTTGAAGCCAGTTTGAAGCGGCAGCGCCATGGTGAACCCGGTGGGTGCCAGAATGGGGTGGAGGATGTTGCCGCAGTTTCAACGAGAAACGAGGATGCTTTGTGATGCGCAAAGACTTGTAGTCAGGTATGACCCCCTAGTAGCTTCTTGTTACTAGTAGCGATGCACCTGTTCCTAACACTTGTTACTAGTAGCCAAAAGAATCGATTTTGAGATTGTCAGGGAATATGTTACGAAGCCAAAGCCCCATTCAACTCAGACTGGCCCTGCAATTTTCAGTCAGGATGGCCGTGGAGCACAATCAAGGGGCAAGGTGCCCATAGATAGTACAGTCGGCTCTCCTTTTGAATTTCATATTGGTTCTGAATTGCTGGTGTTCTTCCGGGAGAGACGGTTCCTGTACCGCGCTTGCAGTTTTTCAGTTCCCTTTCGGGTGTTTGATAATGAACGATGAAGTGTTTAAGGCACCCAGGCAAAACATGTCCAAACTAACCGCTTCCTGCTCTCGTGGCATCAAATGCCCTCGGAGAGTGTGAAGTGTAGAATGCTTGGAAAAGAGGTGTCGACTTGCGTACTTGGTTTGATCATGTCAGATCTACAATATATATATATATATATATACATGCTGCGTTTGCGTTGTGAAGATTGAAATGGACATTCGTGCACATTCGTGCGCTTTTGGCACAATGCTTCAGGGCTTCCCAATGCGCCAGGCCATGCAATTTCGAGCGGTCCGACCCGTGGTGTTACGTTCTACGGGCCCACCGCTGAGAGAAATCCGCATTGCATCTGTGCCTCAGAGGGTCTGAGTATGAGTGAGAGTGAACCCCAGGTGGCCCGATGGCTTTGTCGCCGGCTTTTCCCAGGGGTCTTTTGGGTGGTGTGGTGTTTTGGGGGCAATTCAAAACACAATAGAATACATCAAACATGTGATGCACATTCGTCACATGAACATGAATGTTTGTGAAGCACTATTCCCAAAGCCAGCATCGTGTCAATGTTTCCAGCGCACCGGAAAAAACGGTGATTATTTGGGGGGAAGCTGTCAAACATGGATGACTACTAATTACTGTATTATTTGAGTATTTGTATTGGTACCACATTTGTTGGAAGGCATTTAATCAGTTCACATTTAGCATGTTTTGCGACAGTATCCTTTTGTCAAAAGCTGTTGAGAAGGGCGACGAGCATTGACAGTCATGCCGCAAACGGCACTGGAATTGTTCTTTTGGTGTTTGGATGGCAACTGTTCTCTAGCTGATGATTGAAGTTCGAGAGGTGGGGTGAAGTCAATTCAATGGCCCGGGACCTTTTTGTCACAGCACTCCTACAATTAAGTGGTCATGGATTCATGGATTAAGTGGTCACAGACCTTCGCGATGTCCAATGGTTCAATCGGTCAAAAGGGTAAATCCCGTTTTGTTTCACCAACAGTTCTTTGTATTCGTGATACCTAGGATCCTTACGATTGCAGTGCCTTACCACCGCTGATGGGCACTGCATCTACTGCCATGCCGGCCAGTGACAATCCGTCGAGGCAAACCTCGGAGGCCGCATTGCCAGTGGACCCTCCGGTGGTCGATTTCAACGAAGCATTGACCATCGACGGTGTTGCAAAGCTGTTGGGTGCAGAGCGAATGGTCTCCTTTGAGGAACTCGTGTTTGGAGAACTGTTGAGCAGAGGCGAGCACACAACTGTGCAGAAGGCGCTGTATCGACGTTCCGCAGTGGTGGTCAAGGCCTTACACCATCAGGACATCATGTACAATCAGGATGCTGTGGAGGACTTGCTTGCAGAGATACGGATTCTATCCCGTCTCAACCATCCTCGCTTGGTCCCTTTCATCGGTGCTTGTCTTGAAGACTCGCGAATTGTGCTGATTACTGAGCTTGCAGCTGGTGGCAACTTGCACCAGGCGCTTCATGTGCGACAAATCGGCTTTAGCAGGCAGCAGCTTTTTCACCTAGCCGCGGAGTTCCTGGAGGGTGTGAGATATTTGCATTCTCTACAGCCACCTGTCCTCCACCTGGACTTGAAGTCCATGAACATTGTTCTGGATGTGCGCTTGGAGCATGTGAAGATTTGCGGCTTGAAAGCACACGGCATCGAACACACACACACACAGAGAGAGAGAGATAGATGATGTTTTGTTATATTCTTGGGGGTGTCCCATTACCTGTAACAGTCTGTAAACAAGTATCACTCTTTTAGAGGGAGGCCTTTACTGACCATCATCATCCACTTGTGACAGGAATGGGATACGCCCAATATAACATATTCATAAATACTTCTTATATAGTTAGACTCCTTAGAAAGGTCCTGTTTGTTGTGAATCAATATCGCTTGCTTGGCATTTCAGGCCCCCTTTTGCTTTGTTTGTTTTGGTTTCTGTGATTGTTCTCGATGCTTTGTGTGTCAGGCGACTTTGGTCTTTCGCGTGTGGTGAATGGAATGCAGCGGGAGAATTTGCCTCGTGGGGGGCTCTCCGAGGCCAGTTACTTTAGTGGTGAAAGGGCACGCAGAATCTTCAGCATGATTCGCATGGGCGGCCTCTACCCCGTTGTATATAGCCCTAGTTGAATCATGATTACAGTTGGCAGGTACATGGCGCCTGAATGCTTTGATGCTGGCCTGGGCCCTCTTTCAGTGACTCTCGCACTTCATTTTATGTCGCAGTGCACTGCGGATTTGTTTTGCCTGTCCCACACACACGACTTGTTAACCACTTTGAACTTTCTTAGGAAGACTGATGTGTGGCGGGGAGCTCAGCCTTCAGAGCTTGAGCAATGCCATTGCATGACCATTCCTGTTGAACATGCTACACTTTTCGACTATGGAATCTGTCGCTGTGTGTGCTTGAGATCTCCAGGTCTTCCGCTTGCATTCTCCTAGAGATGTTCGGCTCCTGCCAGCCGTATTCAGAGTGCCGCACCCTGTCTCCCAAGACACATCACATATTCCTTAACAGACGAGCTATGTCATGCTGCACCCAGTTGACTTCAAACAATACCAAACATTGTAACTATAGTCGGATATTTTATCGCTATACATATTTACTGTATTACATTGTTTATAATATATATATATACTCGCGCATATGGAGAATAATGAGAATACTTATAATATTTGACGCCTATATATATATACATACATGCATCCATGCATACATACATAGATACATACATACCTACATACATACATATATATACAGGCAGACAGACAGACAGACGGACGGACAGACAGACAGACATACAGATATACATACAGACAATATGACTAGCGTGCAGCATACTGGAAGGGGCTGGAGTTGGCTGCAGGTCATCTCATGAGCAACAGGACAGTTTTTTTGCGATATTGTTTTTTGCTAGGGTGCTCTTCGTCAAACACATTCCGGGCCAGGTCAACAAATCAAGCCTCAGAATAATTGTTGGTCTAAAGGAGGTCGAAAAAGGGTGACTGTTCCATACTGTTCCATATGTACACATTCCCGATGTTTGCGGTGAGCAATCGGGAATCGATTCATGTTGCCACGTCCTACCCCAAAATTAATCCAGGTTTGTTTGCAAGACCCATTCTCCGTGTGGCACGACGGCCTTACAACTTTCTTGAAGCACGTGACGAAAGAAACGATGGCGGCATATAGTGGCATTCACGTTGGACACCAACGGAAGCCAAAACATTGTTTTGATTGTATGGAACCATCTGACGTCAGAGGTAATGTGCAGCAGATCCTCAACATGTTGCTCGTACAGCAGATGCCCCCATCGCTGCCCATGGGTATGGAACCTGCTGTCAAAGACTTGGTCGCCGACGCTTTGCAACATGAGGCCTTCTCACCGATGATCGTCAGATATACTACAGTAGACATATTTATGATTATAATATATAACCATAATTATATATATATATATATTATATATCGCCTTGGGCCTTTGGGTCATTATCCGCCCTCGTCGATTTGTCAAATCAGCAGAGTAGGCCGCTAGTCTACAAGGAAGGTCAACACCAGGGTTTGGGGCTTGTTTGGTATGGAAGGATTCACCCACAGCATAAGGCTTGTATCACTGGGGCGTTGCATGTGGCCAACGCACCCATAGCCTGGGGACTGTCAGGCGGCGGCCCGGCCACCTATCGGCGAAGTCCTACTGAAGCTTTTGAAGGCCGCTGAGGTGACTGGAGAAGGCAATTTTCGGTTCCAATGGGACCCCTAGCTCCCATTGGCCAACCGCACTGACTCGCCGCTGGATGAAGAGCGGTTTGCCAAGGCGAGTTCAGATAGACTTGTTCAAGGCCAAATAGGCCTTGACTGTTAGAGCGTCAGCCAGCCCCAAAGAATTCTATCATTCGATTTCACGGGTCACTTGCTCAAATTCACCTCAATCGTGGTCGATGAACCGAACTAAGTTTTGATTCTTGGGGTGACTGTGACACCACTAGCACATTCAGATCGACTTGCCAAAGTGCTAGGATGTCAAAGATCTAAATACCAGAAAAACAACGATGGTTCCTCCCTGTCCCTGCTGTGGCGAAGACGGCCCCAGTCAGTTGTGACGAAGCGTCAAAAACTTGCATGCATCAGCGTCATTCTCAGCATTGTCAATGCGCAAAGCATTGGTATATGGAAGGCAATCGGGTGTGCAATCCTCCGAGAATGGAGGGGCGCAACCACCACCTGCAAATGTGCCAGCGAAATGGAGGAAAAACAAGCTCTGCATTCCGTCAGCGTTGTGTTGATCATTGATCAGAGGTAAACGGAAGGGTAGTGCACAGAAAGAGTTTTGCAAAAACCTATTCTACTAACATCGTGGAAGGCGCGGGACATTCATAGAACCCAAGGCTATTCGTGGACAGTTCGCGGAACGGTGGGCGAGTAGGAGAACTGACTGCAACGAAATCCCAGAAACCTTCGCAGAACTTCGTGGAAGGTAGTTTTGATGCACTAACTTCGTATACGCGATTTTTGCTAACCCCCTTTCTCCACACACCCTCCATTTAGCCTTCAATTGACTGCTCTTCAGCGGACGGACTCAGCCAAATCCAACCATTTCCAAGGACTTTTCTTTACCATCAATGAAAATCCAGGTTGCGCAAGGGTGCTTTTGTCAGGCAAGGCTGAAACACAACAAACCTCCTCTCAACTTCGCCTTTTATGCGGTGGAGGCGGGCTTGAGGGGTTGTCATGAGATGGGACATGATGATATACCCTGGTGTGTTGGGGCCTCAGGGAATCTTGCAGGGTGATGGCATGCCACCGCGGAAGCTTGAAAGTCTTCAAGGGCAATCAGGAGCCTTGGCAGATTTGAATGGCGATGCTCGAGGTGAGCGGTCAGAGTAGCTCGTACATTGCGCCTCTTGCAATCTGCCCACTCCAGCGGGTTGCTTAAAATCTCAACCCTTTTGCTGGGCGTGGACTGTCCATCTATTGGCTTGTAGACAGTTGAGGCATGATCTTGGCCTTCGAAGGGGGGACCTTTGTGTGGCCAGGCACAGGTTGATCAGACGAAACTGATTCAACACATTGTGCCTCGTTGCTACTTCTTCGCTCTGGATACCACATGTTTCTTCAGAAGGCCCTCAATGGCCCTCAGGAATCCAGCTGGGCTATCGACGGAACGTCACCCTCCAGACGAAGCCTCAGTCGTTGCAGTGGGAACGTCCGAACCCTCAGACCGTGGCTCGAAAGATCGCGAGGCCTCGAAATGAGGCATCCATCGAACTGCAGATTGAAACCCGACTCTTGAACTGCAAAAATAGAATTGCAGCGGTCAGCCGGCTTGTGCAAAGAACTTTAGAGTGTGAGGTAGTTTGCAGCCCTTGGTGGTGGAAATATCTTCCTTTCTAGATGAGAATGATTGCCAGCACATCATTGACAAAGCACTTCCACATATCCGGAAGTCTTCCGTCAAGCATATGGATCAAGATGCTTGGCAAAGCTTGGGACGTCAAGCTTGGGAGAGCCTGTCAGCCCTGCTGTAAGCCTCATGACTCATGTTTGTTGAAAGTTGGCAAGCAAAACGTGAGGATGTTGGCAAGCCTGATTCAAACTGGAGAACTAGCAGCACCTATTTCATGCCTTCAGACGAGATTTGGCTGCACAAGCTCTCGGAGTGGACACTGCACAAACTTCCGCCCCGAAACCCGTTTACACGGAAAGGTCTTTGCCCCAGTCAACAAAATTGGCCACTAAGACCATACAATCTTGCTGAATCTGGGAGTGCTTTGACTTCCGTCCTTACATTAATGTGTGTATATGTATATATACACACTGTATATTGAAAAATATACATGTCATATATATACATATGTTTTATATCATTAATGTTAAATTAGTATTAGTGAGGGGACCCAAAATTAAAGAACGCAAGTGTCCAGGAAAAATCCAGATCGAATTTGATTTAGTATTCGACTAAAATGATCCATAATTAGCACTGGGCAACAAAATCCATAATTAAAAAATCGCAAACCAAAAAAACGAAAAAAACAAAACAGTGGCTCCTGGCTTGCTCGAGAATGTTTCCTTTATATTTATCTTTTAACAAAAGAAAACACATAAGTAGTAGTAGTAGTAGTAGCAGTAGTAGTAGTACTACTACTACTACCTAATACGGTTACTACTACTACTACTGCTACTACTACTGCTACTACTACTACTACTACTCCAGAGGTTCCCTTATTACGGACCCTCGAAAAAAGTACGCCCAAAAAAAGAACCGAGGGGGGAAGGGCCCCCCCGACTAATACGAATCTAACATTATAACACGATATCACGCAATTCTAAGTTTGTCACATCAACAATAAGATGGATGCGCTGAGGATGCGGTTTTGAGGCGGATTGACGACCGAGTCAGTGCCTTGACATTGATCAAGAAGACGCACCAAGAATTGGCGCAGATTCTTCGCTATGAGCAACTTGTTTCGGAAACATGCAGAAGTTCATAGAAGTTCATGCCAAGAGAAGCCTGCCAGGTTTGGGTGGGGCATTGCACACCTGTTTCAGACCACTTTCGAACAGTTGTTTGTTGTTTTGCCCGAGCAGCATTCTCAGTCAGTTGCGTGTGGGCCCTTTCCTTGTTGGGACTTTTAAGGCAGGGTGAGCAATATGTGGCAACTGAGCTCAATTCCATTTTGAGGCCAGACGCTGGGGATCCAAATTGATGCTGAGGCTCACCATGATTATTTTGATCCTGAGATGTATGCGCAGAACAGGGACATCCAAGAAATGATCAAGAGGGGGCTTTTCAACCGTCCCTCGGAGACACACCAGCTTCAACCCCAGGCGCTTTCTCTCGGTCATGGATGGTGATGGTTTTCCGTTGCTGAGGATTGGCCACGGTCTTTTTCTACTTAACTGATGTGGAGGAAGGCCAGGTGCTTGGCATCGTTTGTTGAAAAGCCTCATCGCAAGGAGCCCTTCCTGACCCCTTTGCGATCTTTGTGGTTGGGCTGGGTCACTGATTCCTTTCGATGTCCTTTCAGATCCATCTTCGCAGGTGGCGAGACGAACTTCCCTCGAGCAGATGGTTTGCCCCAGCCACATGACTTTGGCGATTGCTCCAGGGGGATTTCTGTTTATCCGAGGCCCGTGAAAGCACACACGTGATTAAGCACCGCTTGTGAAAAACATGCATGCTGCATTCAACTATATTCATATTCAAATGTTTGTTTTCTGTTTGAAACGCTGCAGGGAAGCTGCCTTCTGTATATTCGATGTCCTGCATGAGGGGCTAGTTTCAAGATCTCTCTGAGAAAATCAGCGTGACAAACGTTCAACCTTTTCGGAGGCGCGGGCGGATTATCATTTTCTACTCGCAGCATCCCTCCGCTGAAGCGGATGAATACTCGCTGCACGGCGGGTGCCAAGTGAAGAGAGGAGTCAAATGGTCGGCCAACAAGTGGATTCTCAGCTTCACTTAAACCAGGGATTTGTCTCATGCCCCTTGCACCCATAATTAGTTGGCCGAAAAAGATATTGTCATTTATTTTTTGGTAAAGGCACGTATTTGCATCATCCATTGTCAAAGATTGTGAGAACCATCTAGGCTAGATTGGCGCAGTTACTTCCAAATAATATAGTGCGGGTAATTAGTCGCAGCTGAATGTTGCCTCCTTGTCAAGGATTTGGAACAAGCCAATGGACTACATTCAGGAATGATCATTACCGCAGAGCTCAGCTGACAAGCTGCACAGAGCTCGCCGGCAAAAGTCTGAGGGCTGAGGGCCGTGCTTTCGACGAAATCGTTTGTCCACGAAACCTACGACGCAGAGCTCAGCGGTCGCATTGCTTTTTATTTGCTTTTCTGTTGTGTTCATCATCGTTGGAGCTGGAGCATTCTTGGAGGTAGGCATAGAAAGCGCTGAAGGACAACTGCAGCACATGCTGAAGGCCATCGTGTGTTGTCGACATCAAGTGTTCAACGGGCATGGCTTTGCTCATGCTGGGCCATTTCAGTGGCAGTTGACAATTCTTCGGCTGACCCAGAGCAACCCAATCCGACGCTAAATATGTCCAAGATTTGACACCAGTATTCATTTAAAGGCATTTATTCGCCAAAGATTGGATTATTGTTTGCGGATGATCAGATAACCGTAGAAGATCACAAGTTTGATGCTGGCTAGAAGCACCTGTTATATTATCCACTGGTGTTCTCGCGTGATCGCTGCGCATTTGATGCAATCACAGCGCAAGCATGAGGCCTTTGTTGATGGATTTTGTGCTGGTGAACTTTCCACGTAGGGACCGCAGTGCAAGGTTAAGGCCATTGCTATTAGGTTGGAGGCCATCGCGAGTTAAGGCAGACTCCGTTTTGGGCCTTTCAGCGTCCCCCCCCTGCGACTTCACCTGCGACGTCTCTTTAGCTCCACAACGAGGCCCCCGGCCGTGGAGCTGTTGGTCTTGAACTTGCTGACCTTCCGTGGAGCCCCTTTGTGGCAAAAAAAGGGACGACTTGCATTTGTTGGTTAGAGAATGGAAAGGAGAGACACGGAACAGAAGCCAATGGTAATGCAGCAGGTCCTTGTTTTGTTTGCGGCTACCTGAGGGTGGCCAGTTGCTTGCTCGGCATCTTGGCTGGCATGCTTCAGCGCCGTCACCCCAACAAATCTCCTGCTTAGCCTGGGATTGTCATGGAACATCCTCTCTGGCAAAGGGAAAGACACCCAAGTTGGTGTGTGCGGCTTGCGATGGAAGAACAAGAAACTAAGGAAGGAGGAAGAAAGATAGGTTGTGTAGTGTAGTGTAAGTGTGTAATAAATGTATTTCCGAAAAATGTACATTTTGTGTGTGTGCTCTGGATCTTGAAACCACAGAGGCTAATAAACGCATTGCCATCACTGCTTGAGTCTGAGCTGATCGTTCTGCAGAAATGGGCTTTGGCATTGCTATTAGGTTGGAGGCCGCTATTACGTTGGAGGCAATTGCTTTTTGGAAAGAAAACAAGAAAGTCTGGGTTCGTGGATCCTTTGTGCGAGTCAGTGGCCTCAATGGCCTCAGACCTGAGGCGATTCATGCGAGCGGGCTCAACATCAGAGAGGCGGTCTGTCAGATTAAGACGGTCGGTCAACGGTCATAGGTTTTGGGAGCGTTTTGCATGTCACAAGCATGGCCTGTTGGTGTGGGAATTGTTTCAAGTTGTTTGAAGCACAGACTTCCTTCAATGTTTCCATATTTTTCCTGGCAGGTTCCTTTGCACGTTGGACACCGGCTCACTCATGGTGCTTGCGCATGACGCACATGAGGCGAGGTCAAATTTACATTTGAGTCAACTTAAGTGGGTGAGTCTGAGGGACAAGATTGACGATCGGTCAGTTGTTCAGATGTCAAAGTGCCATTGCAGCGATGTATGTTTTGTTGTTTGGCTCCAGCCGGATGCGGGAGCCCCAGGCTCCAGGACAGAAATCGCGCCATTGCCGGCATGGCATGGAAATTGCCCAAGCTTTTGTCTCTTCTCGCTGTGCTTGCGTACGCGGTTGCCGAAGAAGAGGATGAAGAAGCAGCCTATAGCGAGGCTTTGGCCAACTCAGAGGATGCCACAGGCAGCGAAGACATTGGTTCATCCCAAACACCATCTTCTGTCTACGTTGACTCGCCTTTGCTTTGGCACATGTTGTCATATGTTTGCCGTTTACATGTCTAAATTCTAAATGGCACCAAAAGGGCTTTTGTCAGGCTTAATGGTTTATATAGATTCCCTTCAACCGAGGTCATGGAACATGGAGTCCTGGGTGATGCTGTGAAATGGATGCCCAGAGGAACCATGATGCTCTCCGGCCATGGGGCAGGCTACGAAGCGCGGCTTTCCGATGCAAAGGAGTTCGTGCAGCTGAAGCCCCAATTGCAACAGATGCCCCTTCGCAGGCATTGAGAAAGAGCAAACAACACATACTGCAGCTATTTGCACGCTTCCCGCTTCCCACATAGCGTGTTCAAAGGGAATAGAGGGTGGTTCAAAGGCAAACGGAAGGGTAGTGCCCAGAAGGGGTTTTGCAAAAACCTATTCTACTAACGTCGTGGAAGGCGCGTGACCTTCGTAGAACCCAAGGCTGTTCGTGGACAGTTCGTGGAATGGTGGGCCAGTAGGAGAACTGACTGCAACGAAATCCCAGAAACCTTCGCAGAACTTCGTGGAAGGTATTTTTGATGCACTAACTTCGTATAAGCGATTTTTGCTGACCCCCTTTCTGAACACACACCCTCCGTTTAGCCTTCAGTGGTACATGTTGCCCGCACGCGTTACCGAGGATCAGTGAGGCTGCAGGCAAAGATCAATACTACGCCATCCGCATGTACAACCCAGCAAGCCCAAAGAGGACGCTACAAGCGGCCATCCCCATGAAGCTCCTTGCAGACCACTTCGAGGACTGGCACGACATCCTGGAGGTGTTTGTCAGTGATGCTGGAATACCAGTAGCTCTATCCTACAGGGTCAAGCACACTCTTGGGTTGATGCTTTTTGACCATACGCAAGTCCACCTCTCCGAGCCGTCTCGCCTTGAAGGGCCGCGAGTGCAAGCGGCTGTGCGGGAAGCGGATGGAAGCATCAAGACGCAAGAAGCGCCACAGCAACAGTCCTTCCTCCGGAAGTATTGGTGGGTCATCGCCATAGCAGTCCTCCTCTTCTCTAGCATGGGAGATGATGGGAAAGGCCGTCCTGGTGGAGGCGGTGGCGGTGGAGGTGGAGGTGGAGGTCGTGGAGGTGGACGATGAGAGAGAGACGAATGAGTGTGTGCAGCGGGTGGTTTGGAGATAGAAGCTAGGCCTTGAAAGAATAGAGCTCAGGGCCTTGTGCTGTGCCATGTACTGGAGACAAAACAAGGTTGACAAAAGAGAAAAGAAGAAGTTGCAGTGCTGTAGTGCTGTGCTGTCACAAGTCACGGTTTCAGGGAAGGAGGTGGTGATATGTACATTGTACACACTTGGTACTGTCAGATGCACACCGTTTTTGCCAAAGGGTTGCTTTCTTTGTTGCAAGGCCTTGTCCCGGTTGTCCTTCATCGAGTGCGCTTCTCGTGTTTGCAACTCTTGTATGCGTTCGCTTCAGTGTTTGGAATCTGTTTGAAGTCCCATGCAGAATTCTTCTGACATCACAAGTCAGTTTGCCAATGTCATGTGATTCGGTGGCTCAGTTGCTTTGAGGATCGTGGGAGCCCGTGGCTCTGACTCTTTGAGCTTGGCACCATTGCTGCAACGCGCCCCAGTGATGGAATACCTTGGAATGAAGATGTCATAGTTTTTCCCAATCAGATGGATACAAATGTCAATATATACAGTACAGTATACATTCTTGGGATTCTGTTCATTCTCGATGTATGCTGTGGTCACTGTAGCGCTGTTTTGTTTGTTGACTTGTTGCCTGCCGCAGTCAGTCGACCATAATGTGATACAGTGATATAATGATAAGATAATTATATCAGACGACTGTGGGACGAGTCACGCTCGCCAGAGAGAGAGATATTACACATATATATATTTATATATATATATATGAACTTATGAATACATATATATATATATATGTAGTGCTAGTGCTGCCATTGAGCTTCCATATTGTTAGCGGAGACTTTCCTGCCCTGAAGTAAACAATGAACCTGACTGCAAAAACAAACCTAGGACCTTAAAGTTCTAAAAATTCAACAGGACAGGCACGTGAAAGGAGTTGAAAGGTACATGAAGAGACTGTGTAAGCTGTTTTCTCAGGAATTGGTAAAAGTGAGCATGATTGGCAGAGAGGTGTTGAACTGTTCTACGGGGCATCCTGTGCCAAGAATACTTTCAATTAGCTTAAAGAGGTGGTGTTACAGAGACATTGACAGTGTTGATTTGTGTCAAAACTCTATTTTCTTGGAGCTTGATCAAGAAGATATACAATAAAACATGTATCTTAATTAATAGGCGTTCTAAATATGAGCTCCATACAAAATGATGTTTATTTTGGGAGTGGTTTAAAGATGTATGCTCATGGCCTTCCTAAGAGGTGTTTCATACTTTAACATGGTGTTTTATAAGGCATTATATAGCTAGTTTATGCTACTTTTGGCTTGTGTCCAATCCTTTGCATTTTTTGCTCTGTCCGGTAAGTAGATAGAAGTAATAGTTGAATATTGGAAAGTTAAATGCATTGGCTGGCCGCCGCTCAGCACAGTTTCAGCGGCCTTGGGTGCCTGGGCACTTCGGATGGCACCGGATCCCGCAAAGCTCTTCAAGCTCATCGCAAACCTCAAATTCCAGATTAGGCCAACAAATCCGAACCGCCTCGCAGCAACCTGCAGCAACTAGAGATACCAAGAGCATCCGTCCGAACCGATCGGCCCGCCAGTGTCCGGCTCAGTGCCCATTTCGGCCGATTTGAGCTGCCTCTCCTCTGCAGTGGTTTGGCTCCACTTACTCGGTGTGCATTTGGCGCCGAAAGAAACAAGGTCCGAAACCCAAACAACGCGGTGATCTCCAACGAACGCGGTGATGAGCCGATCGCCGATCCCTCAAGGCCTAGAGGAAATCAAGCCGAAAGACAGGAAGCAAAAGCAACACCCAATTGACTGGTGTGCTTTCAATAAGGGCCCCGAATTTGTCTTCAAATGAGAGTGCACGCACCTGACCAGCAGAATCAAAATGATCAGAAAACCCGTCGGCTTCCTGAACAGGTCTGAATCCTTCGGCTCCGACTGACTTCTCAGGTCAGCTTTGGCAACGCCCAAATGGGCAGAAGGGTATGTCATGTATAAACGCTGTACAATGTTCACTCAAATCATAATTGCACACTGTTATTTGCGCGTGAGTTATCAGAAAACATATGTACTGTATATGTATTTTATTAGTGGTTGTTTTTTTGTCGGGTATTTGATAGGCTCGCGCAAGTATTGCATTCGCTTGATTCTGGTGGGAACAAGCTAGCTTGACTGTATTGTAGATTGCTTGGAGATCAAATTCTATGCCCTTTGTTCCTAGTAGCTTCTTGTTCCCAGTAGTATGGCCAGGAGCCCCTAGTAGCGTCCTTGTTCCTAGTAGCGATGCCAGGAGCCCCCTTAAATGTGCAGACCTGAGCCTAAAACAAGGTAACTGCGCCCCTAAGGGCCGTGCCTTGGTGTTTTGCTTGTCCCACGTGTGTGACGTTTTTGGACCGAGAGTGTTTGTTTGGGAGGTGAAAGTGCTGAAAGGGTTGCTCGGAATGTCCATTTTGAGATGTTTTAGTCATTTTCTGTGAACCCCTAGTATGTAACAGCATTCATTACATGTCTATCTAGCTAGCTACGGTTCACCAAGGTACATGACAACATTGTACCCGACCGTCGCTCGCGTTGGCTCAAGGAAAACAGCGCGCATCTTGCTGTTTTCCACAGGGTGCCGTGCACGCCGGGCTGTGTCTGGGTGCACTTTCGCTTTCGCTCTCGTGCCCTGTCTTTTCACTGTCTTCGTTCGTCCGACTGCTTGCCAGCTTTCGTTCGTTCGCTCCACTTCGTCGCCACGGGTACTCGGCCGTCTAACCGACGTGTCCTCGTCCCCGTCGACCGGGCCGCTAGGGATTTGGCATACCACTTCTACTTCCTCCCGGCTGATAGAATAAGTTGGGCCATCCCCTATCTCCCCAATAATTTGTGGATTCAATTGGTTATCAGCCGTATCGCGCAAGATACGGAAAGGCCCCTTGATCCCATCGCAGCACGTTTCACGCTGCTTCGACGCCCTGGGATGGGCAGGATCAATCCTGCGCCGCAGGATCCGGACGTCGCTTCGTCCAGCACGGCTGCCGCCGCAGCCGCGACGTCCGAAGGTCCCCAAGACCAAGAGGCCGCTGCCTCCCTTGGGGACGTGGCTGGAACCGCGCATAGCGCGGAAGCCACGGGCCAAGAACTCGAGGAAGGTTCAGCCGAACCTCCTCTTGTTCCCCGTGTCGCAACGGGTGTTTCGTCATCTCAACCTACCTTCACTCCACCCGGCTCCGAAACCGCCGGTGCGGAGGAGGCTGATGAGGTTGCGCCTGTTGACTCGCCAGCCACCGAGGTCCTTCCAGTCGAGACCAACACGCTTGAGTCGATAGTTCGACAAGAGCCTGAACTCAATACCCAAGCCCCTAAAGCCGAAGCAGAGCTCCAGACCGGAACCGCTGCTTCGCGCGGAGAGGTCTTGGAAGCTCAGGACGATTCGTTAGGCCACGCTAACGCCGACGAGCCGCCCTTCGATGTCTTTTCGTTGTTAGGCCCACCTAAGATAGAGCCCACCACTAAGGAGGAAGTAGAGGAGGAAGTGTATGCCGATCCCTCAACCTCTCCCGTGGGTCCCCCCCCCCACTGCATACTCATAATCATCCGACGCAGTTCGAATCATTGGCCACTGATCCGGTCTTTGATGAAGCGGAGGTTGACTTTGGAGGCGAAGAGCCTGGCGACGACCTTGATGATCAGGCGGAGCCCACTCCCAAAGAAGAGCAGCAGGAAGGGAACGAGGCTGACGACGAAACCGCGCCTAGCGCGGAGACATCACAAACTGCTTCGGCGGCCGTGGATCCTCAACCTAAGCGCACCCGCGGGGCGAGAGGAGGCCAGAAGCATCAATTCGAACAGTCCGACAAGAAGTATGCCCTCACGTGTGACCTCATCGCTAGTCACCTGGCATCGCATACCTACCGTCGGGTCGGTAAGACTTACCACTTACCGTTCGTGAAACCGCTGATTGCGCGGAGAGATTATTCTGAATGGTACAAGTACGTCGTGTTTCATGCCGACGCATGGGCTGAGTCCCCCGAAGAAGGTGACATTTCCGACGGGGCCCTCAAGGCTTGGGCTGCGATCATTCCAGAATTTTGGTCTTGGTGCACCCGTAACATGCCTGACATATCGAATGGTGTTAAACAACCCACCTATCGATTCCCGCCCGGGTACTGTCAGAAGACTTATAAATTCATCCCACTCCGCCAGGTCCGCTCCTCAGCAGCGACTTCATCGCGGGCAGCACCGTCTGCTCAGCAAGCCTTTCCGGTGACTGTCCCGGCGCGCACCTTCCAACCCGTAGTGGGTGCAAGCGCAGCCAGTTCGTCCGGAGGCTGGAGACCGCAGTTGAGGCCTGTTGATCATCCTGTGCAACCCCGATCCCAGACTCCACAAGGTTCTCCAAGATCTATAGGTCCCAGACCCGGACTTCAGAGTCAGTTCGACCTCCTCGTCCAACCAGGCCGTGTCCTAGGCCTAATCGTGAAACCGCTGAGTCACTCGCGGACACGGAACAGCCGACACGCACGGTCCATCTTGCCGACGACACTGAGCAGGCAGATGATCCTATGGATGGTGTTGGAATCGAGGAGGGAGCACCCGCTCCTGAAGCCGAGGCAGATCCAGGATATCCAGACGGAGCGGAGGAGGAGGGCACAGTTCAACAGGACGACCAAGGCGGAACCGCGCTTGCGCGGGAGGAGGAGGAAGCTTTCGGGCCAGATCCCGTGGTCGAAGTTGAAGGTGATGATTTGGAGGCGGTGCGCACTCGTGCAGCTAACACCATAACCCGAGCCGTAAGGTCCGGTCGACTTGGACGTGCACTTGCAACTGCAACTCCCCTTAATCCACCACCTCTAGACCCCGAGTATCTGAATACTCCTCATAGGCCTCAGAACTTACCACCGCATGTTAAGCTTCGAAGGCCATGTCCACCGAAAGCAAGCACCCGGAGCCTACCCGTGCCTGCGCAGCCTCCAAAAGCCGACGCTCCGCAACCGGAGCCTAATCAGCCGAAGGTGGCACCGCAACCGCGCCAGCGCGGATTCGTTAGGCTCCAACATGCTGCCCGCGAACCGCCGGCGCAGCCTATTCCAGTCCAATGGACACAGCTCGTGACACTGTGTACGACTTGCCTGATCACGTATGGCGAACTCGTCCCACGAGGGAGCCTGGCGGTCTGACAGTGCCACAGCCTGAACTATTGGTG